TACTTGGAGAAGGAAGTGGTTTAGGGTAAGAAACATGAAGGGCAAATGAAGCCAGAGACCACCTACACCAGAAACTCTGGGTAATGCTAGAGAGTACCGTTGTTTTGGTAAATTTCATCCGTATTTAGCTTAACAATATGTTTCCATAAATCCTGGGGCATCAGGAAAGACATTTTCACCAAAGACAGCAGAGAACACACATTCAATGTTTTTAAGAGAAGCTTCATTAATTTTATCAGCACATGACTATCATTTCACATTGATGGATGACAACAAAGTCAGACCAACATTGGAGACATGCCTTGGAAATCAGACTAATCGGAGAGTTGTACATACAACAGCATGTGGGACAAGTGACACTGTCCATGTCCAGACATTTTGCCTGTGCTTTGTACGACCTGAAGTCCTCACCTGAACTGCAAACGTCTTGTTTCAGAATGGTTTAGGACAGCAAGGTACCACCTTGCTCTGCCATAAGTGGTTGCTTCCCACCTGTAAGGGTTAATCCATAAACCCTTCAAATTACACTCGTACTGTCTTTACATTGATTGTATTGAGGAAGCAGATGGCTTACTTTACTCCACTACCACATACAGCCGTGTGACTTCTCGTGTCAGCAAGATGAATGAGGATATGACCATGCTATCATACCCAGGCTTCTACAAACATGCTGTTACTACCATATATTTAATAACTTTTAAGGATTTTGGTGCTGGAGCTCTTGTCCTGCCATTTTGTCTCGCAGATACACCAAATATAGCACATCTGGAACTGACCAAGCTTTCTGGTGTGGCACAGATTTGCTATTCCTGTCTCATAGCTGTGTTGGAGTGCTGAGAGCATGATGGCACAACAGACGTTAAGCTCAGTGCTTAGTTTCACAGCCACAGGCAGCACAAGACCACTCATGTAGTGGATAATCTCATCTTCAGTCATGGTGTTCTGTGTCAGCAATTTACCACAGTAGCAAAATATCTTCCCAGATGTTAACTGGGCACATGTGCTCATCCCTCAGTGCAGGAGGTTGGCATTTGCTTATAAAATAATTGTGAAACCAAAGCTGCTGCCCAAAAGCAAAATGATCAACGAATCTTCCATTTGCATAATCATGTGGGACTGTTGCAGGTAGAATGATTTTTCGTTGGCACAAAACAAAATAAATACTTTTCTGTCAAGCCTTCCACAATATGACCATTAGCACAACCAACAAAACCAACAGAAAAGACAGCGAGAATCCACACAGAATCTTTTGTTACAATAAACAGAATTTTCCATTACTTCAGCTGTCATCTGGTCACCAAAGGACTATGCGATAGAAAGCTTATTTGGGAATTCAAAGTTTAACAGAAGTCTTCTCTCACAACCTAGTGAGTTAAAAAACCCAAACCAAAACACAAAAAGATCAACAAATGTCACATAAGATCACAGTTTTGCCGCAGCATTTTCCCTGAAGCTGGCTCATGCAACTAGGAAGTTCCACAATGTCAGGGACTTCTGAAAGGATGACAGGAGATACCTGGGTACTTCCAAGACTTTTGACTAAATGATAAAGTGGTATTCTTCTTGTAGCTATTACTGCCAAGTTTACCCAGAAAGAAGGAACAAATCAAATAATTTAAAGGAAATTAGAAAGTTCAGTATAGCAGAAAGAGGGTTTTTGCTCTCCTGGCAAGACCAGGTAACAACTTTCCTGAACAGAAAACCCTTTCCACTAGACTCCCTATGCTAGCATGCTAGGCTATTTCTCTCTGTGAAGCCATCATAAACAGGTAGGCAGCATCCAGGAACTCAAATGCAGAGGTATCAGAACAGGTGAAAGATCCATCTGTTGTTCTGAACATAAATCTAACCAGGCTGGACCACTGAAAGAGCATGAGCATGCTCATTAGATTCAGGACTCAAACCCACCTGGGTCCATACTGTTGCTATTGCCAAAACCACACACAGACGCTCTCCGAGTTCCGTCATGATCCTTGAGCCATATGGTTAAGTAGAATGTGCATCAGAGCAGTAATGAAAAATACAAATGAGTAATTCAGAATGGACCTCTGGCTCTTACTGATCCTACAGCAACTACTGAAATTGGTATTGTAACTCATCAAAACCAAGGTGTTTGGGAAAGCCCCATTTTGGGAAAACATCCAAAGGCTTTGGATCTGAGGATTAGATTTGGCTTTTGCTAATCATTTCCAAACAGATTCCTGGTGACGCAACCATCTAGCAAACTGCAGACACCAGCAAAGTTAAAGTTTCATGTTATAGTACAGTCCTCAACAAATCAGATACAGAGTTCCTACGTAAGCTGACATAACGGTTTCATCAGCAGTATTTACTGCTGTACTGTTGTCAGGATCACGATGGCCCTAACCAAGAATAAGAAAACACTTGCTCTGATAACCTACAGTCCCAAAACATTTAGAGCAGGTCAGTCCCCAAGGATCCCACTTCACTGCCCTTCCTTAAACTCTCAGCTCACTCATACGAACTCCCTAACTTGGATGGAGGCAACCATAATCCTTCTAAGGAGTTTTGCTTGAATTGTTTGTAGATGAACACACTGAATCAGAACTATGCACAAGGCCTTCTAGAGGATCTGAGAATGCAGATCATGGTGTTTGAAAACTAAGTATACTTCAGCCACATCTTTAAGAGTTACAAACAAATTCCAGTATAATGTATGATATACACACAGTCCGGTTATTTGAGGCAGGGATGGATGCAGATGCTGGAGCAGTGCCACAGTTAATTTATGAGGCCAATCATCATCTGGAGTCTCCACTGAAGAAAACATTGTTCCTGCATCTAAAATCCCCAGTAAATTCTGTGTTCAAAATTGGGAGCACAGAACTGAGACTCACTACCAGCGTCTTCTGATAAGTGGTAAGATGACCTCCTAGGAACTGTTGGCTGCCGCAAAGATAAATGTCTCAAGCATATAGATGTTTTAGTTAGATCTTAGTAAGTGATTCACTGTGGAGTTGATGTTCACCTCTAGAGGTAAGTGAATCTCTTCAGTTACCTGAATATGCTGCATCTGATACTGCAAATCCCAACCATGTACTAAACATACAAGAATGGGAAACGAGGGGATTTCGAGACTAAGACACAAATTACTGCACGTATTTGAGGAAAAGGATCGCTGAAGAAAAGGAAGCTGAAACAAAGAGCGACACAGCAAGGGGTATGGGTACCTCTCCACCTTTCAACTCTTCTTTCTTCAACTAGGAAAGATGCAATTTGATCTCTTTCCCACCCAGTCCTAGAATAACACTTTACAATGACTTCCACAGCACCACAGGGCATGTCTACAGTAGCATTGAGATTGGGATCAGGAGCATGCTTCTGCAGAAACTCCCCACTGTCCCCGCTAACTGCACTTCAGCAGGCATCACAGAGAAGTCTCAGAATATGAACTGGAAGAAACCAAACATGAAAATGCATTTCTGGAGTGTACCTAGTGCACTCCAGTTGTAAACAAACAGTAAATCCCTGGCACACCAGACTACAGTTAGTGTGAAAGAAATCTTTCTGAAATACATAGCATCAAGCCTTCTCCAACAACTGTTCTCTAAAAAGCTGCTCTAACACTTCTACACTACTTTGCTAAAGTAAACATTGCCACAGAACACCATCTAGAATGGGTGCTTACAAAAATGTTCTGAATAGGAAACAGGGAGGTAGAAGAAGAGCAGAGATCAGAGTAGCTTAGTATCGAACAACTTTTACCAATAACAGCGAGCAAACGGTGCTTCAAGCTCAGCTTCTTCTTGCCAATCTCTTCCCGGATGCCAAGTAAATGGCTCAAGGAATGCAGAGAGGCAGGCAGGCTAGGTCCAGCTAGACTATTAACTGGAATACCAAGATGGTTAACTTCCCAGAAAAGCCACGCTCTAAGAAAATTGAAATAGGCAGCAGATACTTGCCAACATCTACATTACAGTTGTCTTCTCTTGGGGGACTCTAATGATCATGGCTTTTAGTGGAATTGGGATTATTTCACTGGGCAGACACAGCTTTTATTTTTGAGAATTCCTCCACAGGAGCTACTAAAATAAAAAGGCTAAGTCAACAATCAGTAGGTGAACATACTCATTTTACACAAATTTAACTTCCTGAAGAAGAAAAAACAGGCATATTTCCTTACTTGAAGGAAATAGGTCAGGCAAGTAAGATGTTTGACTGATGGGGGAAAGAAAAGGGGATATGCCAAATCTATTCTTGAATTAAAAAGAGAGAAAATAGTAAATTTTATTGAAACACTGCTAAATATGTAATATGTTAAACCTTACCCCAAAGAAAGGGCTCTTTTGATGAAGACTCCTATTTCCTTTTCACTGCAAAGGAGATGTGTTGAATGCCATCCCTATGTGTTAGGTGATTTGAGTATTGAAAGTGTAGACACCCAGAAACCACGATTCATCTTTTGAATACAAGCTGCTATCTTCGCTAGTGAAAAAGAGGAACAGGTAGAAACTAGATACATTAGTGGTAAAGATTTTCAGTATCCCCATGAGCACTGTGGTAGCTTCTCTTCTGGAACCTTTTGTGGGACCTTTGCAGAAATCAACCCATGCTAAAAAGCGTCACACCAAACACTTTATGCCAAGCCAGTAAGCAGAGGTAACTGTGTGCCTTAATTTTCTGTCTTATTTCCCATGCAGACTAATGCAGCTGTTAAAAACTGACAAAAAATTTGTAGAACTACCTAAATATGCAGTTATAACTATACCCTTTCCTAATCTGCTACAGCTAATTTGAAACAGGGACTATTTTTGAATACACTTATTCTTTCCAGAGGATATTACCTTGGACTTGTCTACACTGAGTCTGGTTTCCCATCATACTGTCTCCATGTGCTCTGTTCCTCTAGTCTTGACTAACTTTAGAAACTCTGTCATCATCAAGTTCTTGTGTGGCAGTTTTCTTCTTCAGATCCCTAACAAATGAATACATGTTTCAGTACAGATCTGCAGACTTTTAGTCTACAACTTCTTGTTTTGCAAAATTAAATAATTCTTTCTGAATCACCTCACTATGATAATTAACTAAATTTAAACTAAATAGCTTTTTTTTTTTTTTTTAAAAAAAAACAACAAACAGACAGACAACTGCACTACATAGAACCCCTGCCCCAGTTCTACTGACTCAGTCATGTTAAGACTGCAATCCATCATGGCAAATGCCACAGGCCTATAATGGTTATGAGCTTCTGGAGTACAGGATGAACTCAATTTACATTACAATTTACATTGCAATTTCAAACACAGCACCAGTAAGAGCAATGATATACCTAAATATGCTGGCATAGGACCTGTAGGGTTTTCATTACCTTTTAACACGTACTACTACCCCTGCTTCAGAAGAGGGTGTCTCCTTTTGGCAATTCTGCTTTGCCACCTACTTCCCAGCAAATGCCATGGTCCATGGGTCCCAGTCTGTGGGTCTTGTGAGGCCTAAGATCAGCAGAGGCTAACATCATTCTCTCATCACGGAGTTCTCTTGAGGCTCAGTACTGAGATTTCATAAAGCTCTATTTAATCCCATTTTGTCTCTGACCTCGGCACAATTTTCTAAACAAGTGATTTTGTAAGTTTTACAGAAAGTTCTCTGATTTCTCAACCTAAGATTTCTTTCACGCATGATTACATCTCTTCTCTTGCACCTTTCCTACAGAAATCCTAGACTTGATGTTGAACTGAAAATTCTGCAGCTCCCTGCAGGTAAAGAGGAGCAGCTGAAGCACGTGTCATTTCTCACTGAAGTACCTTAGACTTGACCAGCAGGATGGCACAGGTGGCAGAAGTGAAATTCAAGTCCACTCTGTGGATTCTTTGGAGTGACTATCAAAAAGGCATAGTAGTCACAGTGAGTTTTAGAGTATGGATATCCATAAGACACACTGACTCACTTCACACAAACTAGATGCAGATGCAAAATTACACTGAGTATGAAGACACGATAGGGAGAGGCAGTAAGTCCTCTCTTCATCACTCTGAGCATTTTGACTTGTAAGCCTGTGCTTTTATTCTGGTTATCCAAGAACACATTCAACCACCATATCAAAGCTGAATAACCACCAATGGGATGAGTTGTCCATCTGTAACAAGATCACATGCACAGCTAAGGATGTTCTTGAGAAGATTACAAATCTTTCTGCTAGATTCTGATCACCGTGCCTATGTCTCAGCTTCTTGCAGTGGTCAATGGAAAAACCCAAAACCTTATTTGGGCAACCTTATATTCTGTTTTTGCAGGATTTCTTGGTGAATTGTGATTGCTTCTGCTCTCCCTCTATGACTATCCAGATAAGCTCAGTGCTGGTCCCACTGGAAATATCTGGCTTCACACACATTTTTTATTGCAAACACCTTCAACGTTCTACTTGGATTTTCCAGGAAAAAAGTTTTTGTTTCAAACCAAAATGATTAAGAAGATACAAATAACAAAATGTTTGTCCCAGGAAACACAAGTGTCCTTGCAACTCAGCAATTTCTACTGAAATCCCACCAGTCGTCTTATTTCTTGATAGATGGGGGCAGCCAGTTCTTTGGCTTTCTCTGCTCCATCCTCTAAAACCTTTATCAGATGGGATGTATCTTCCTGGAGTTTCTTGATTTCATTCCTGATAGGTGCAAATTTTTGAATAACTGACTCTGCTACCACCATTTTGTAGTGAGCAGTGTCGAGACCAGCAGATTGGTGCAGCACTTCTTTGATGCTAAGCCCCGTTACTGCAGCATGAATGGACACCAGATTGGAGACACCAGGGCGACCGTCTGGGTCATAGGTCACCTCAGAGGTAAAGTCAGTCACAGCTTTGCGGAATTTCAGCACTATTTCATCAGGGCTGTCCGCTATGTTAACAGTAGCTAACTTCTGGGGGTCTGACTTGGACATCTTCACTGTTGGATCTCTGAGGGATTTTATTTTCTTTGTTGTGCCTTAAAAAAAAAAAAGGGGGGGGGAAAAAATTATGCACACACACAGACAACGGTTTTCTTATGACAATTGCTAAGAAGACTTTGTAGCAGCATGATGAAGTTCTCTGTTGATCCTTGCTTAAAAATGAGTTGTGAGCACAATCGCGTATGTTCCTATTTAGTCCTTATGCCCCCTCCCCGTCTTTCTAAGTCACTTTTCTCATCCCATAAACTAAATGAAAACCTGCTCCATTTGTCCTCTCCTCACTAAGCAGAAACTTCTGCTGGGACACTTCCTAGTATTTTCTGTGGCTACATGCTGATCTTCACTGAAAACTCTCTCCTCCCTTGTATTCCTGGCACTGGGGACAAGTTACCTAAAGAGCACAGACTGCACATTACTGAAAGGTTCTGTAACAGGGGAGAAACAGGTTAAATCCACTGGTAAAAAAGAATCCTATAACAGTTAAAACATCCTTACTTTAGGAAAATCTTCCACCCAAAATATCTTGGTAATTCTCCTAAATATCAATAAAGACAGTTATTAAAAGTTCCCTAACTGACTACTAACCAGCTCTGTTAGAGGCAAAGCACTGTTCAGATAAGAGGGGTGCAGGTATTGTACAAACTCCTAAGATATATGTGTGTACATGAAATAGAATAGTAGCACTGGGGAAATATTGCAAAGTACTTTCTTTAACAGTGCAAGCTCAAACTGTTTCAGTCTTTCACCAAGAAACATCATTCATGGAGTACACAAAGTACCACTGATCTAGAAAGTACTCACACCAATTGTATTTAGGCACCTAATACAGCCAACTAAATTACCTCCATACTCTTCATAGACGGTATGTGTACTCAGTGAAAGGATAAGTGTTCTCCCAGGGTACAATTCAGGCTGCCCCAGAAAGTGCTCTGTTCTGAATCACCCTTTGAAAGGGTCTGACTCTTTTCCGTATATTTGAAGGAGTCCAGGTAATCTAACATCTTACAGCTAACGAGTTTGAATAGGTCCCTAACTCCTCCATTCATTTAGGATATTTAATTGGTTTGCATGTATTAGTACACTTATGAAGGTATGCTTTTCATGAGGAAAGTTTCAATGTGGGTTTTTTTGTTAATTTTCAAATTGAGCTTTTTATTTCCTGGGAAAAAGTCTCACCTGCATCATAGGCTACACTCAGCTCCTCATTATAGTGCTTAGTATTAGAAACTGCAGAGCTCACAATACCTAATATTCTTTAAGCTCCACTCTGGGTCTAACATCATTTTTGTCACTGAGGCTTGAAAATTGAGAAAGGTTTATTACTGCCTGTCTTTTCTAAGGTGAGAGCTCCTTGCCCTTTTAGGGGCGAAGGTCTCTGCTGTGCATTCCTCTACATTACTTACAACAAAGATGCAATGCTTCTTCATTGCCCAATTCTTCACGTTTCTTAACAAACATGCCATTTGCGCCATCTGACTCCTCCTCACCCCCCGGCCTATGACCTTATAGCTCAAAAATGGCTGAGAAGATTTTCCTTATAAGTATCCCTGAGTCTAAGAACAAAAATTGAAAGTCTAAGCTCTGTAAGAGACCCTTACTGAAATATGCAAGTATATATTAAACACACTTAGAAGATTTTTGACCATTGTAGCAATAAAACTACAAGCTGTTTAGCATGCTTAATCTAACACCTACCACTCAGACACTGAAGAATGCTGCTTGCTAGAGGTCTCTTGTTCTTTACACATCTCCTGAACCAGCAACATGGAGCAGAGACCCTGCTCTTAAAAAGTCCAATACATCAAGAGCAAGGCTGACTGGCAGCAGCAGAGTGCATCTGGCCCCCTGGACTAGAATACCAGACGTCACATACATTCCTCTACTGGGTATTTGTAAAGCCTTATGTCTATCTTGGGAGTTCAATTTCACAGCCTCTAGCCTCTTGTTGTCAGTTTTTAATTTTCCACTCCCTTAGCATCAGTTTGCTCCCTTTTCTTGGTCCCTGAAACTATTTCCACAATACTTAAATCCATCTTCAACCTTGAAGTGCAGTTAAGGAAGAAGAACAGAAAAAAACCAAACCAAGACCAGCTCACTTAAAATGGCTTTGGGCACAGGAAAGAATTCTCCATATTTCTTGTTGAAATGTTGTGCTATATCTTGGGCTAGTTCCAGGTGCAGGACTTGATCTTCTCCAACAGGAACATGTGTCGACCTTTTAATAAAAGACAGATACAGGAAACTCAGCAAAGCTCTCCAGTTCTGCTGAAATGTTACTCAAGACTGTCACAGCTTCTGCCATGACTGAGGGCCAGACTGAGCCAAACATTCAGTCCCAGCTAGACATAGGTGCTATGGGAACAATATCCCTAACTGACTGTATCCCAGGATGAGTCTGCTTTTTGTGCTGAGCTGAAGCACGTTTCCAAGGGCAAAAATAGCCCTTCGTGAAAACATACACGGTAAAGATACCAATAAGAGAAAATTGTTAAACTCAGCTCAAAGAAAGTTTTTTGTAATATCTCCTGCTGTCTCTTTAGAGATCAAAGAGCATGCGTTACAGTGTGCGAGCAAAGTAGGGAAGATCTGCAAGGCATAAAGCACAAGCACCTTGCCTTGTCAAGTCTCAGGAAAACTTAACTGTTGTTGAGAAGTTAGTACTGTGGATTTACCAAGGGAAGGAAAGAAGAGAGTGGATCTTCCTCACGGGTCACCATTATACAAATATCATGTGGACCAGTGCCTCTACTCCCACAAGTGTTATCATTCATAGATTAGAACTGTTAGGATCAAAGAATCATTTGATCTTCTGTATGGAGCTCAATAGCTTGAATGCAGTTCTGGAGGAAAACACAATCTGCATCAGAGGACATGAGAAGGTGAAGAATCCATTACTTCCCCTGGTGATTCTTTCCCACAGTTAATCATACTTGCTAAAAATGTATGATTCTTTTAGATGAGGCAGACTTGAAGACTTGCCAGATTCTGATTACTCTCCCCTCCCCCAGGAGATTTTTTTTTTTTTTCCTAAGGCTTGTGGGGTATTCGGCTCTGAATCCTGGATATGTTCCAGCGTAAGAAAGTTCACTATGCATCTTTTAAGTTCCCAGAAAATTTCAGTTCAACATGGTACTCCTTTCCTTTAGTAGGAATCAATTTGTCCACCTTTATGCCCCACCAAACAATCAGAAAGGCAACCTAAAAACAGTTACAGTAGCCAATAGGAAATCACAGTGGCCTACAACTAACAGAAAGAAAACCATTTACCATAATCAATATATTTTAAGCAGGTCAAAAGAAATGTTTCCATATACCAAAATGGTTCCATATTCACAAAGTTTGCCACTAAACAGAAAACATATTGTCTTTATAAATGTCTCTGCATGATTCTTTTGCCTTTTTCCTTGCTGTTTTTTTTTTAATATTTCTGTCCTGGTGCTATTTTTATTCCTTTTTGTCATATATTTACCTTCTGTCCATTTTCCTGTCTCTTTGATCCTTGGTTCATCTGAATTAATACTGCTTCTCCCCCTCCTCCAGCTCTTAATTCTTCTTCATGACTGCTGTTCCCTTTCTGTGTTTCCATTTCTCCCTGATTCTTGTTCCCTATATTATGTTTTTATATTAAAACATTCATTATTAAAGATATTATGTCAAATTTCTTCAGAGAGATACTGTTTTTCTTTCACTTCCTTGTTTTGTGCTCTGTCTGGACAGCCTGCTGTTAAATACACATGGTAGCAAACGAACCACAGGCTTCACTAAGGAATGATGAATCATGTGATCTTATTAGAAATGGAAAAGACATACATGGTTGAGCTCGATCAAAACAAGGTGATTTCTGATGAAGTCTAAATTTCACTCTTAAACACGTCTTGACAATCAAATGGGACTCACTGATTAAAAGATTATTTTAATGTCCAAATTCATTCTGACTTTTGCTTCCCATTATTTTTAGTTAAAATTCAAGTGAATTAGAAATACCATCTACTGACATTACTAATACATCTTCTGACATTACTGCTTTCCCTTACTAATGATCACTTAGGATTAAATTTCTCTAGGTAGATTTTTCTGGGTTAACAACTTGCCCATCTTGGTTACTCTGTCCTAAAGTCCCTGCTCTCATAGTTCTGTATTACTTCTCTGTCCCAACAAATATTCACAACTTCATTTCAGAACAATTCCACAAAGTACATATGCTCAGAACATAAAAATAATTAATACACAGTGCATTGTCTCTGACATTTACTTATTGAGACAGTTTAAAATATACTATGGAATACTACCAGTCATGACAATGCACTACAAGTTCTGTCAGCGAGGCTACAACTTAGGCATGCTGAGTCACCAGTTCCTCATTAGGGTTCATTTCCACTGCAGCACATAGTACATCACAAAGAAAATTGAACTAGCCCAAGTACCACAAAGGGCAGTAAATGACTCTTTTTCATCAGTATCAATAGGCCTACACAGAATCCCACACTAATACTGGTATACTATATACAGCCAGCTTAAGTACCTCTACAGTACACTGCATGAAATAAAGCATAACTACTTAAAAAAATATATATATATGTATGTGTGTGGACATGTAATATGTACAATTAAACATCAGTGTGTTACAATTCCCTAAGAATTGTTCTGAAGTGACCAGCTTTTTCTCTTTACAGCCCTGTCAGTTGCTTTCAAACCAGGCTAGAATTCAGCCAGACACTTGAGAGGTAAAAAAAGCTGTCATCCATTTCCAATCTTGTGATCTAATCACACCCAGCTCCCCCACTTAATCAGTCATCATGTTAACCTGATGAACATTCATTCTAGTGCAGCTGAACAGACATTGCCCATGGGCTCACATTCTGCCTCTTACTTGTACAGCAAGATATCTGCTGCTTGAAGCACAGGATAAGTCAACAAGCCAACAGTTCCTTCATTATTCTGGCTGGCACGCTTCATCTGTTTGCAAAAGAAAAACAGAGAGAAATGACCCTTTTGGCTAATGGTATCAAACTCTGTGATTTTAATTAATTAGAATTCTGACAAATTTGAGTAACTTACTGTGTAACTCTAGAGAAAAGCGTGCCATGTAAAATCCCCTCCTTGTGAATACACACATCCCATTTTATGTCCTCTATTTATGAATTTACCTACACTGTTCTGATATTGTAGTGAGGAGAAGACATAGGTTTGTGTTTTCTTTCTGTTTGTAATCTTACTAACAAAAATGATTATAAATACGAAACAATCAGACTGGGTTATTACACTTATTATTGATAAACCTTACTTTTTAAATAGCATTTTCAGCAGTAAATTTTTGAAACACTTTATAATAAGATATAAAAAGTCATTAAAATACCTGTGTTTCGCAGAAAAGAGAGCAAGACATAGTGACCACACACAGTCACCCGGAGAGTCAGTGACAGCTAGGAGGAGAACCCAGAACTACAGAGGCAGAGTCCAGTGTTCTCTCCATTAGTTCACGCTGCTCCCAACAATCCACCCACTGTTCCAAAGTCCTTTGCTGCTCTAGGATATGGATCATTTAAACCAAGATAGTCAGGCTACAGATACTCATTCTGTTCTAGCAATGGCATATCTACTTTCTGCCTTTAACAATAGTTAAATACACTAAAATCCTTAAAATCTTAACTATTTCATTAAGACTATTCAAGTATCTAGATTTTTCTCACCCTCTCATACAGATTCTGTCTTCTGTCTACATCTCTAAGTGCCTAGGGTTCAGGGGACCTAATTTGCAAAGCCTAGCACCTGTAACACCTATCTGTAGATCTGGAAAGTCAATCCAGTCAAAGTTGGATTTAAGAGCTTAACTTTAGAACCTCAGGTTTGAAAAGGTTGGCTTTAATCTATGCCATGCATTAACGCTGGTTGCTGTATTTAAGTTTTACTGTTTTTATTTAATTAAGAAGAAAAACAGGAAAAAAGAAAACATCTGGAGGTATTTAAGACTGCTCTGAACTCTACAAGCCAAACTGCTCTTAAGATTTTTTTTTTTCTTTCCTTTTTGATACTTCTCTCTCCTGCCTTTTGGTTTTTCTGCTTACTAAATGCCAAAATACAATACAAGGAAATTAAATGCAAGAATTCAGTTGATGCAGTCATACTGATGCAGTATTAAGACGATGAACACCTGAAACTTGTAAAGGCAAACATTTAAGGTGCATTAACTTTATCACTCAGCACATTTTTATTATTTATAATTTCTATACTCCTCTTCCAACATATTCTTCTTCTGCACCCTCTTCCATAAAATCTACAGAACAGCCACTCTTCACAGTGGAAAAAGAAAAGCTGGACATGGAATTCCATAATCAGAAAGGCTCAAGGTTTCCACTGCAATATCTTGTAGTTGTTTTGCATTATTAAATAAGCATTGAAATAACTCAAAGCATTCTAGCAAAATCAGTTTAACAACACTAAAACCCCCTCCTATTTAGTACAGATACTGCAAGTTTCTGCTGAAAATATCATCCTGTAGCTTCCAGCAGAAAAATGTTCACTGAAAGCAACAGATCTGGAAAGACACATTTCCCTCTCTGCACCACAGGACCAGAGAATTACTTAAACCTAAAGCAAGGATAACCAAGGTACAGTTGGCACTTCACAGACAGCAAGCATTTCAAGGACAGCAATTCTACTGAATTCCCATACATTTCCTTTCAATTTATGAAACTGTTCATACCTTCCACTGGGGCAAGCGTAGCAAGCGTGGCACATTAGTTAAGCACCCAAGAATCCAGGCAAGTTCTGCATGCTCAGGAACCTGGAATTACAAAGTCAGAATCTATTTTAATCTTCTGCCTTTATAGGCATATTTTCTCAAAAATTAATGCAGATAAATAGCATCAGAGATCAGAAACCCATTTATTTTTGTCTATTATTTTTTCAGTAAGGTCAAGTAACAAGCAAAGGGAAAGTCTTGGACACCCCATCGATTGAATACACTACAGCATAGCAAGGTTCTTGATCCTATCCACTTATACTCCAAAAAAGAAAGAAAATGCTTTAGCAATTACAGAGTTGAACACACATGTAAACCAACTGCTGGCCACTGTGCCACAGCCTCCTCACACTTTGAGATAATACATTAACAGTTCCAAAACCTCTTTGCCTTTCTCATTTCCAGTGCCAGTAAGTTATGCAGTCTTAATTTCTTCTGCATCAGGACCCTGAATGTACTAATTTCCCCTAATTGTCCACACCAGCCTCACTGAGCCCTCCACCCACATCCTCTGCCCATGGCCCCAGGAGCCCCATCTAAGGTCAGGACAGACTGCCCCATGTCCTTGCCTAAGCTACATCACACAGCAGTGTGTCTGGCACTATAACAACTGCAGCTCCTTCACAGAAGCCTGAGCTAATGGCCACAGAACAAGAAGAGCTGGGCTGCTCCACAAGGCTGTGGCTGCAGACAGCCATAAGGCAGGCCAGAACAGTTACCTCCCTGACCGGAACAATGTCCTGCAGTATTTAGTCAGGTCAGGGGTGGTGAAAGTGACAGTCTGGTGATCATCAGACATAGCAAGGTAATTAGTCACATCTGAGGTCAATCCAGAAAGCCTAGGAGAAAATCAGAGCAGCAGGGACAGGGTTGAGCACAGGTACACTGTGACGTAGCTCAGGTGAAGACTGGGGGCCTAAGCCTGAGCTTAAGTGGAGCTCCTGGGGCACTGGGCAGAAGGTGCATGGGTGGAGGGTCCAGGTGAGGCTTGTCAGTATTTTGGGTGCACCAACAGGTCTTAATGACCGTGACCTCTCTGCAAAACAGGGACAATAGCTGAAGTCAAACTACAGTACAGCCTAAATTGTGGCTTAATTTGTCCCCCAGTTCTGCAGTCCTATCAAAACTGATACTGATCTGCAGGTGAAAGAGAAGGATCAGGCCTCCACATACCCTTTGCTACAAGGGTGGTTTGAAAAGATGAGAGAAGGAAGAAGAACCCATTTAAGGTCATACAATAGACTCTTCATTTAACATTCTGGGGAGACTGCAGTGATAATGGAATTTTAATAGCTTCAGGAAGACACCAGACAGAGTGATTGGCCCCCTCCTGCTAAGAGGAAGACTTTCTACAGGCAGAGACAAGAAGTGTGCATGCAACAACCTCTGTTGGATGAATACACGTTTAGCTTCTTCAGCTTCTGCATTTCAACTATTCATTTTATGATTAGTAAAAGAGGCAAGCATTGCTGATGCATACGCTGTTCTTTCTTTCCTGTCATTTTGTCTGTTGTCAGTTACCTATATATACGATAATCATCAAAAGAAAAAGATGATCTACGGTCTCCTTTGCTTACATGTTTGATTCACTCTTTTCAGTATTGGCAGGTTTGGATGTTTTAGAGCATGCTAACTGTCTTAAAGACGTTCAAAGCTTCATGCTTGCAACATGGTATAACAACCCAGATGGAAGGCAGTAAAAAGTGTTTGTTAACAAGTAAGAATTACTGGCATCGTTAACGGCAATTCCTTTGTTGTCACATTTTAAATGTAGTAAATTCCTAGCTAACAGTCATTAGACTATTTCGGTTGTCAATGTGGTATAGAGGTATCTAATCTCAAGACAACAGCTCAGTGGTTAAAGATATGAAAGAT